TATAACTAAAATGTAAGTTATAAAAGTACCAAGTCCATAGTGTATTTTTATGTAACTTGTAGTAGCCTGATAGCCACACCACACATAATTGTTGATTCCACGGTAGTCAAATAATTTACAAAAGTCCCCATAAACTTTTCAACTACTGTATTGTAAGTAGTTGACCAAAATTAAGTTCTTGTTTGATTTCATACATCTTAAGAAAATAAATTTATTAGAAATAAATTTTACTAGAGTGCACTGTTTTGACATTTTTTTGCACTGTTTTGGAATTATTTTGATGTAGATTTGTTTGGAACATCTAAAAAAGTATGAACTTAGATGTATGTATAATGAATGGAGGGAGTAATCTATTACTCTGTATAATTTACTAGGTAGGAAGGCCTAACAAAAGCCCCCATCATACGAAATGGCGCTGATAAATTGAATGTTGTAAATTGTGTGATTATAATTTTACATCTATGATTAATTTTCATTCTTCACCGTAATTTTACATCTAGATGATCTTTCACTTTTTAGAAATTTCAAAATGGTGATTGCGTTACGCGTCAACATAATTCTTCAGAATTCCATTTCCAACATCAAATAATCTGCATTATTATGATCTTAATGAAATTCGGATCTTATCATTGTAGAACCTTTTTAGATGGCAAAAGTGAGGTATTATATTTTTAGATAAGAAACTTACAAATTGTTCCTCTGTAATATTTGCTAATTCATTATGACTAAAGTGATGCATAATGGAATAAGATTAATTAATTTCTTTTAGGGACTAATGTGACAATTAAAACATTTACACCCGCTTTTTTAAGAGTGGATTGGTTTTGAAGCGAGAAGGAAGACAGAGACATACCTGAAGGGCAACGAAACGCATGCCAAAATTTTGACGGTGACCTCGAGCCGGCGGAGGTGGGAAGAGGTTACCGACGAGGAAACGGACGGTGCCAACGAGAGAGTCGCGGAACCATCGGACGGAGAATATCTCAATTTGGACGGCAGAGGTGTCCCGCTGGAGGAACTCATCGTCCACGCGAAACACGAATTTGTCGTTCCACGTCGGGTTGTTGCACCCGTCGTAGTCCACGGCGGTGGTGAGCCGGCGCGTAGGGTTGAGACACACGGTGGCGTACGTTCGCATTTTCTTTGACCCCTGTTCCAAATCCTGGGCGGAGATTATGTTAATTTCGAGGAGTTGAAACGGTTTCATCATCGCCATTTTGGAAGTTTTGTTTGTTTTTTCCTTGTAATCCTTCAATTCAATCCCAACCTGAGACCTTCATATGCAGAAACCGTGGTGGCTGGCGGTGGATGGAGGAGGAGGTTACGGAATCGCCGCCCTCCGAGAATGGGACGACGGCGGAAGGTTGCATCAATGAAATAGGGATAGAAATACAAGGAAGTTGGAGAATGTGAGAGGAAGGAAATGGATATGATGGCCTGGATCTGCCCTCTCGAGAGGATAGGCCGGCCACCGCACAGAAGGGAAGCTTTTGACCATTTATTTAGTTGATTTATAGTGCGCAGTATATGTTTGTGAAATTTTGGTTTTGAAGGCTGTGATCCATTTCGAGTTTGCTAAAATGAGGGGTTCCATTTCAGACTAGAAGTCAAGTTTGTGATTGATTATGGTTACACATATGGTAAGAACTAAGAAACAAATCTTATAACGTGCACGATCAACATGTGGCATGAGACACAACCAAATAAATATTAGCAAATAAATTATATCTCTCCTTATTAGAATGGTTTTATACAATTTTGGTAAGTTTTTCTCCACAATGTCAAAAAGGTCGTCTTGATGTTGACATTGTGGTTGACATTGCAGAGAAAAACTTATCAAAATTGTATAAAATCATTCAAATAAGGAGGATAAATAATATATTTGTTAATATTTATGTGGTTATCTCTCATGGCACATGTGCATCGTGCACAATCATTGGAGATGCTCTTATATATTTTCATTGCAAAATGCCACGTAGATGATAATTAATTGAGTATATTTTGAAAAATATTTTTGATGGATATATAATATAATTCAGTCATTACTTATGTTCCTTTGCGAGGGATTGGGCGGACGGACCTATAGTGAAACACTAGGGTTTTGTGTCGATGGCGTCGTCTCCGATGAACGGCCGAACAGTTTGAACAGATTTTTGGAGCATTTGGCTTTACTGGGGGATAAAGTAGGGGATGAAAATCTGAAAGCAGGAAGATATGAGCAGACGGGCTCGCTATCTGGACCCGAAAGATCGGAAAGCAGGGGCTATTCGTGCGGACGGTGGCGGCATTGGTGAGGGCGGCCGAGTGAACTCCATTAGGGACAAGTTGGAGGTCGGTGTTATGAGAGGAGAAGTTGGTTTCGAAGGTCTAAACTCACAGCTTGGGTTCCAATAGGGGTGTGACGACTTTGTTCAAGGTTTCCAGCTTGCGGCAGGTTTGCGGCAGCTTGTTTTCATCAGAATCAAGGAGGGCCGTGATGAAGGATAATAGCATGTCCCAGAGGCAAGAAGTGATTGATGATTTGGCTCAAGCTTATGGAAGGATGAAGATGGAGGTAGAAGATGAAGTCAGTGGTAACCACTGAGTTTATGATCGGTTGGACTTGAAGGAAGAGGGTGAAGCGTTATTGGTTCATCCCCCTAATGAACCGCTGCCAGGGAAGGAACAGGCAACTAGGGTTTGCTTGTTTCATTTGTTATTTTATCGTTCAACACTTCCAGATTAATTTTTGCTTTGTGGACACTAACGATAGGTTCTTTGGTTGTCTTTTCATTATTCAGGTTAAGTTTGTGGGTGGAAGCGATAAAGCTTGTATGACCGTTAAAAGCTTCGAAGCTCTCACATGGTTAGCGAATAGTCTCGCTCTTTTTAAGGTGATCAATTTTGTGTCTAGTTAGAGAGTGAGAGGGTTGTTTGGCTATGCGGAGCCTCATAGGGAGGTTTGGCGTTTCTTGATTATGGGATTGTTGTTATCATTGATTGCTATAATATAATTAGTTTTCCTTTCAAATTAATAATAATATAATGTGATCTGGTCTGATCTGGTCTGTTTAAGTCCGGTTTGATCTGATAAATCTCTGGTTTCTGTGTATTTTATAACTATGAAATTCAAATCTGGTCTGATCTAGTCTGTTTAAGTCTGTTATGCTCTGGGCTAAAAACAGTTCAAGTAAAAACATTCATAGTCTTATAGATGCATTACTTTTAATATTTAATGATTAAAATTTCATTTAAGAATATCAATTGTTTTCTAACACGGAAATGAGAACTTTTATATAGGACATCAAGAAAAGGAAAGTGAGTAGTTTAGGGTCTGTTTACTAACAGAGATATTTTTCTGTTCTCATTTTCTGTTTTCAAGTCTTCAGTTTTCTGTTTTCTGTTTTTTAATTTTTTGTTTTCCAAATCAGAAAACATGTTTACCATAGTTTTTCAATTTTCCACTTCACATGCATTTTTACCATAAATGGTTGACTTAATACTTGGAAAACAAATGCACAATTACAAACATTTGAAATAACACAAAAAATTAACAAAAATGTTCCCAACACTGAAAGTTCAATAAGGACATAAACTCTTTGAATAGATAGAACCCACTGATAATGTTTATATGTTATATAATAGAAACCGTCATTACAATATCTTTGGATACATAGAAAACTATCACTTGAGTATACTGCCTCCATCATGTTTATATGTTAATCTAACCCACTGACAGATACCATGATACAAATATAATTAAAAAAACTATTAGAATCCAATAAGCATTCTGGAATATGAAAACTATCAGTTAAGATCTGAACAATATCATAAAGACCATATAAATAATGAATTTTAGTTACTTCAAAGTAATATTTCAAATTACTTACACATTCAGAGGTAGAATACCAGATTGTACTAACACATTCCTGAATTGTAAGCAATTTACATTAAGCCCCTAGATAGTTGTGAAGCACACTGTAAAGGTTGTAAAGGGAGAAAAAAATCTTGCAGAAGCTTTCCTTTTGGGAGAAACAGAAATCTGAAGTTGAAGAGAAGCTTTCCTTTTGGGAGAAACAGAAATCTGAAGTTGAAGAGGATGTTGCAGTTGAGAAGCAGAAATATCCTGGGTGTCTTATAAGAAGGCAGACATACATATGATGTGACTCAAAAACAAGGTTGTAATATGTTCATGGATAATTGTGAAAAGAGACGATCTTTTCAAGTACATTTTAGAGCTTTTCATTGAAGAACATGGATAGAAACAAAATGGCCTCTATTAATCAAGGCTAGCCACTGCTGGTTGAGGAACTAGTTGATAAAAACTCAAATTATAATGCATGGAATTTCGAAGACCCCATTCATGATGTTTAGAAAGTTTTTTGCAGGGGGGTTTACTCCTCATCTCATTGTAAGTCAAAAATTTAGTACAAATGTTTCTCGAGTTACTCCTCACCGTCCCTCTGTAAGTCTTCTTCAGTTACACTATAGTCACCCATACAAAATTTTATAACTAACTAAAACCACACAATGCTACAACAAATTCAAAAACTGAAATTCATTTAGTACAAATTGATAAAAGCACTAACCGTAGGCTACTAAGGCAAAAAATGCCAGAAACCATAAAAACCTAAATTGGCCTTGACATTAAACTTTTGACCTTTATTTACAAGTTTAGAACTTGTTCTGGTTATTAACTATAAATCAGTTTTTTATTAAATTTTAAATTCAGTTTCGCGGTGCTATAGAATTTCTTGTAGTTTCAAGTAAGATGATTGGTTGTAGTGTTCAAATGTAACTCGGCCGCAAGTTTTATTAGATTTTAGAAGCATTCAATGAATAAACTGTTGTCAAAGTTTTGGGGAATAATCTAAAGAAGCTTGAAGTAGGAGTAAAACATGAATAAATGAATTGTTATCGATCTATCAATAAAGTATGACAATGAGTCATATTTTATGAATAAAACAATCACACTAATATTTGATATGTGCTAATTACTCATGTAAGAGTTGATAAACTACGTAATATGTTGTTATGTTCACAATTGCTATGTTCTTCAACTCCATGGTCTCATACCACAAACAGTTACCATTATGAAAAATTGCTATTAGCATGGTTGTGAAACATTATGCTTTTCGTTTAGGACGTGCAAACTATCAATGTTATGAAACATACTATAACAGGAACACTCATAAACGAACCCAAGTGCATCACCCTACATTTAATGATTGACATTAAGCTGTTTAGCGAAAATCCAGAAGAAGTGTTGGTTGCCTCAAATCTATGAGATGACAAATACCCGTAGCTCCCCCCTATCACCCCTTGTAACACGCATATCAGAATCGACATATACAACATCAAAATCGCCATTCCCTCGTCTTGATGGTGGTCTGATCATATCTGGTACTCGGGGCAGCTCCAATGGTGGTAGTTGTGATAAGTTTCCTGATGTCTTTACTGTAGTCTTCTCATACACAATCTTGATCGTGGATGTTCCTGGTGACACTCACAAAACTTGCTAGTTCAAGAACATTTCATCCTAAGAGAGACTTATTATGAGCTTAATGTTTTATCCTAAGGTCCATCATCTTATATGTGGATCATACTATGCCTCCACCATTAGAATAAACCAATATCGAAATTCATGCATCTTTTTTCAGTCTAAGTCGGATCGAGTTGCTCGTTGGAGCTTATGAGCTCTAAGACCGCATGAGCTATCCTAAAAAGTTGATTTAGTAGGAGGAATAGTTCATATATGCCAACAGAGTTATGCCTCTCTAAGATAATAGTTCGTCGGAACATACCAATCTTAAAATCCAAGTATTCTTTTTTTAGTTGAAATGGAACAAGTTGCAATTTGAACTTAATGGGCTCCTATACTATCTTGAGTTAAAATCATGAATCTCTAAAAGTTAAACTAAAAAGAGGGGTAGACTAACTTCAGGAGTTTATATACTTATATATTTGAGCGAGGCGCAATGGCTTAGAAGGACTAACCTATAATTTCAAATTTGTGAGCCAAAGTTGCTGTCACTTCAATAGGTGGGAAAGGCCAAGGGGCGCCTAACTCAAGATCGACTATATTATCAAAATCCCTGCTAAACACGTCAATCCTTTGAAACACCTGTTTAGCAAAGATTTTATAATGCAAATGTAAGATCCTTCCTAATCATAACATGCAAAAACTGAACCATTCCCGATGAATGAAAAATATATTTTTGGTTGGAATGATATTATTTTAGGATACCTGACCGAGAGTTATCGGAAGTAGCCTTCCTAAAGGGGGACCAGGGCGACTTCCACCCAGAGTGCGAGATGAGAAAGCACTGCTATAAATTAGTTTCCATCTTCCTTGCAGTATATCAGCATCAGCTTGCAGGTCGACAGGCCCTCCGGCTTCTTCAAGTGCCTTGGCAGCAATATCTGCCTGCCTTAGATCATCATCACTTGCAGCTAGTCCTCTATTTAACCCTGAAACACTACTCTGCAAGTAAATGAGTAATTATTGTCACATGAGTCAAAGGAGCACTATACTAATGAAATTATGAATAAAGAAGTAAATATGCCCCCACAAGGCCGCAAGCATAACTTTAACTTTTAGCTGTAGTCTCAAATAAAGCTTCTATGATATGAACTTCCATTGTGGACTCAAATGGTTGGGGGGGGGGGGGGGGGGGGGGATAAAACCGCCACTAATTAGTTCCAATGAAGTTTGAACTTTCACATTGTCCCAAGTCCCCCGCCGCTAGTTGACATGAGATTAGACATTGATTAAATGGTCCGCTGAACTAAGTTTGGGGGTAGAAGATCATCAATTGAGAAAATATTATGATATGAACTTTCATCGTGGACTCCTACAGGTTTGGGGGGGTATAAAACCGCCACTTATTAGTTCCAATCAAGTTTGAACTTTTACATTGTCGCTAAGTCCCCCACAGCCACTCGACGTGAGTCTACATTTATTGAACGGTCCATAGACCTAAATCTGGGGGTAGAAGATCATCAATTGGGAAATATTCATATTATGTTTTTACATACTATTCATTTTTTCGGGCAGCTAAGCCCCAAAAATGCTGCGACTATTTATTTTATTTATTTACAGATATTCATTGATACAAATCCATCACATCATCTTCTAGACAAAACAGTTCTCCTATGAGCATTACTTTCTTAATTACCTAGAAAAACGCTGTGAGGATTCTTTTCGAACAACTTTTCAATGATAGGAAATCACAAAACATTAGTTTTTATACTTTATTGAATTCAACACAGCCTAATTTCATTTTAGGCTGAGGGGTTTCATTTTACTAACACAAACTCATTTCATCCTCCTAGCAGCATACTTGGATAATGCAAGAAAGTTTTATAAGCTGAACACTTCGAATTTACCTAATAACATATGAAACCTGATCCAAAGTCATTCATGGGGAGTAATTCCGATCAAAATAAGGAATTATTTCAAGAGATTGACTTGCCAAGGTAAAAAAAAAACTATGCATGTTTATAATAAATCAAGCTGAAGTTATAATACCAATAGCTTGAGCTTCAAAGACCTAATATGGTCAGCCCTTGATTCTTTATTTCCGGAAGGATCAACGATCGTGATTTCATTTATACCACCTTGACTGCACACGAAACTTCTGTTGATAGGGTATCTTTTCTTGTGAAAAACTTGGGAGGAAAATCTTGCAGAAAGGTGTGGGATGGGGGGGAACGGGGCTAAGATACGACTATTTGAAAGGGAAAGGGAAAAGTGAAGTGCAGAGGCCATTGATGATTATTGAGCTTTCCGATTATATGCGTATGAAGTGTGGGAATGGAGTTTGTTGGGTTTTGTGGGTTTTAAGGACGTGTTTGGGGATATTGTGGAGAAGATTTGTGGATCCGATCCTTCCAGTAACGGTCCTCCTTTGGGCACCAGCAAAGTGACTAGGCCAGCCTCTATTTTTCCACTCTTGGACTGATCTGTCCTCTTGTAGTCTTGTGCTCACGGAAACTCATTTAGCAATTCTTTCCACTAATTCTATTTCTATTCCACTAATTCTATTGCTTTTTCAATTTCTCTTGGACCTATTTTTTTGTCATTATAAATTGGGCTTTTGACATGAATATTACTAAAAAAATAGACATTAGAGAAAAAAAGACTTTTTTTCAAACTTTCCAAAAATGTGACTAATAAACACCTAATTCTCTAAATTGCCCTTCTTGTGTTTAGCACTGTCGTACCAAGGCACTACGTGTCATTGCATTGTCTACCAATTAATTCTCTTTCTATTAAAATATTATTTCCAATAATAGATATTTGAATGTATATACAGGAGATTTAAATATTTAAATTATTATTACACAAAAATAAGTGTGAAATCTGTCTCAGTTACTACCGCAGTACCACCACTCTAGTGACATCATCTCAGTTACTACTGTCTCTAACGATCACTGCCCCAGTTACTACCGCTCCAGTGACATCCGCCGAAGATAGTGACATGATCACCGCCGACGACAGTGACCACCGCCACCGGCAGTTACACTCACTTTGTCACTCGCAGTTACAGTGACTTGCACACAACAATAGTTGACCTCATGCCCTGCCCCAACAACGTGCCATCACACAGCTCCTGACCTGACCACCGATTTAGTGACCTGTTGCAAGCTGCTAGTGAGCCGTCGTCGGCCACAATGACCTCCGAAACCGGTCACAGTGACTCCAGGGATGACAATTCCGATCACCCAAACATTTCCTGCCCCACCAGCATACCCCGTCACCGTCCCTAGCACCCCCTAGATACCCCCACATCACACACCTACCCCTGTGAATAGCCTAGAGATCCCATTACCACCCACTGACCCTGGCCCCGTCCAGCGCTGCATCACTGACACCGACCATCAACGCCACTTTTAGAGCCAAAACATCGCTCGACGTCGAACAATATCGCCCATTGTGGCACTCATTTAAGGGCGCCACCGCTATCAAACAAACTCTAGGCAGATCCGTACTTCATCGCCGTAATCAATGGTAGAGCTGCAGTCGTTGACCGTCACCATCATCAGCAATATTGTCGTCGTCCGGTGCAAGGACGCCATCGTCGGCGTCCACTGAAATGTCGTGGTCATCGCCCGCTGCAAATCCATCGTCCTCAATCAGTCTCTGTCGCCCTCAGCCAGACCGTCGTCTTCCTCAGCCAGACCGTCATCGTCTTCAGGTAGGCCGACATCTTCCTTCAGCCAGGCCGCCTCCACCTTCATAAAAAACCTTAGTGGAAAAGGTAAAGTGATACAACAAAGAGACGAGCATTTCGATGGGTGAGTAAGGAAGGGTTAAGTGCAGGGGTGTTTTTGTCTTCCGATTTTATTTTACTCCCGTTTCTGTCCAATTTCAGCTCGGGTCATATTTTTGTCTTTCTAAACACCTATAGTATTATTTATGCCATTTTTCCTAATCAAAATTTTTATAATTTCTTTTCGAGTGGGAAATGAAATATATCATTAATCAAAATTGCGCGTTAGTCAGCCTGAAAAAGGAAGCGTTGTAACAAAAAGCAAAACGAAAGAAGTTTTAAACAATTCAAGTAGACTTCTATATTGTTGTCAAACACATCATTGTATTGTCAAATACAAGAAAAAGATGGTTACTCTATTTAGAATGTTTTTAATGGTTTGGTTTTAATTCAATATCAAACCAGGCTTAAACAGATCAGATTAAAATCAAACTGACTAAATTAGATTTCGATAGAAATCTACCAGATTAAGCTAAACCAGACTTAAACAGAGCAGCTAGATCAGACCAACCCAGGAAACTTCGATCCAATTAAAAACATCTTTATTGATGTTATAGTTATAAATTATTGTCTCCTAATAAATTAATTCATGTCAAATTAATATGTACTCAGTATACTTCAAGTTTTCGGCTATGCTGATTTAGGTCATATACTTATATTTAGGTTACACATATGAAAGACATTTATGATGTTTTTAATTAGACTGATCTCGACCCCAGACCACTGGCGGGGGTAGGGAAGGGCCTTCCTGGGCCCTGGCCCATTGTAGAATGGGACAAACCTTTTAGGAAATATTTAAAAAATTCTATATCGGCCCAACAGTTAACAATTTTGGCCCAGTGCTCTTTAAATTCGACCCATCCCTATTCTTTACCTTGGCTCCGCCCATGTCCCAGGCTATCACAAATTTAAACAAATCAAATCAGATCAGACTGGAATCAAATAGATCTTTTCGAATCAGACTAAATTTAAACAATAGTAAAAAAATTATCAGTCCAAATACAAATAGACAAAACCTGAATACTTTTGTTTTTCAAAATGTTACATATATAATATTAGTGTCATATGAGAGATCATAAAAAATTGCTTAACTTTTAAATATATTTTTTTAAAGATCGGAACACAAGTGAAAAAGTTATGACATTTAATTTAATAAAATAATACGTAGTAATTATTTTCCATATGTCACTGAATTATTGGGTGTGGCATAAATTTTGATATTGATTTTTCATATACACGGGTATTGTCCGGTCCTACATTGGTTTCTCAAGCTTCTCATCTTGTATCAACTACTCTATAGCATGTTTTATTTCAAATTTGATTAAAGAATGCAAAAGGATAACTTAGTCGTTCTAAGGTTACATTAAGCAATTAGCAGCCCCCTTCCAGTAATATAAGTGGAAAGTGTTTGAGAATGTTTTTTATAGTACGGTTTTCGACTGCAGATCACATCACATCAGACTTAAGTAGATCAGACCATATCAGATCAGCATTAACTTCTGTAGTTATAAAATACATAGAGACCAGATCAGACTAGAACATACTAGATCAGACTTAAACAGACCAGGCCAGACAGTCCAAATAAAAACATCTTATATAACAAATTTGATTATTATTGATAGAATAAGAAGAAAAAGGTAATAATAAAACTAAAGATAATCCTAATTTTTATTTATCTATCTATTAAAGTTTAGTCTAATCTTAATTAATCCAGTTTGTTTAGTCTGATAAATATTTATTCTATGCATATTTTACAATTGTTGAAGTCCTATCTAATATAATCTCACATGCTTAAATTTGGTCCGGTCTTAATGAGAAATATATTTCCCCAAATCTCATTCCAATTACCAAAACCTGATCGTGCATAAATTTTCCCCAATATAGGACAAATACATGAAAAAATAGATAAGAAAATAAAAGGTCACATGATATGCATATAAGTCATATGCGCCATATTGGGGAAAAAGATAGAGTCATATTTTAAAGGGAAAAGAGGCAAATAAGCTTTGGACCTAACCGAAAAAATACACACCTCTTTTATAGGAGGCTCTGTCCGGCCGTCTCCATTTGAGGTGATTCCCGGTGGATTATTTTGATGATTTTTTTTGAACATCTTCTTCATTAAGTGTAGTTTACCCATAACAAATTTCAGCTAGAAATTTAATCGTGAAGGCAGTCAAATAAATGTTTGAAGATAACAGCGCAGTATATTTCAAAAAAGCATTTGACTGCCTTCCCGGTTGAATTTTTACCTGAAATTTAGTATGGGTAAACTAGACTTAATGAAGAAGATGCTCAAAAACATTCATCAAAAAAATTCCACCAGTAACCGTCCCAAATGACGACGGCCAGACAGAGCCTCCTATAAAAGGGGTGATTTGCACTTTTTTAGTTAGTTCGGGAACTTATTTGCACCTTTTTTAAAAAACACACGAGGTTTAAGTCTAATAGGAGTAATTTCCTCTAAATCATCATTGTACTTATATAGAGTTTTGAAAATACAACATGTTTAATAGATTCAAATAATCTAAAAATAAGCATATATGGATCACCCAATATTTTCTAAAAAATAAACAAAGAATACGATGTTATTCGTTTTTTACTTGTCATATTAGAGACTAAGAAAAGTATTACTCCCTCCTTCCCCTTTTAAATGTCCCGTTTTACCATATTGGGATATCCCTATTTAAATGTCTCATACCTTATTTGATAAAGTTTGTGTGGCTCAAAATCATTCTTACTTTATTCTTACTTTATCGATTATATCAACCACACAAATCCACTTTTCTTAAAACTTGTGCCACCCTCTTACGGGACATTTAAAAGAGGACGAAGGTAGTAGGAAATAATAAATAAGTAGAGGAGAAAGTTTTTTTAAAATAAAAACCCACATATATTAATAACATTGGGATTCGGATTGTTACATCAAACTAAAAGAGATCAACACTAACAAAAAGTATTCATAATCAACTATCATTATCAACCTTACGACAAGACATATAGATCCTTCCAACGACATAATAACTGAAAGAATTGTCAATCCTTATTGTAGAGCTAAGCTAAAGACACCAACAAAAAACAAAGCAACGTAAATAAACATAATCCAAAAATAAGACCATAAGAAATAAATAGCTGATAAAAGCTCCAAACTTCTTCCTGCCATCTTTCTTAAAGCATCATCTTTCAAACTCTGACACCTCGATCACTCCAAGGCGGCGATTCATGAGGAGGCGGACTGTTAATCTGTCTTCCCCTTGTCAAGTCCTTCACCTCTCCTCATCTGCTCGTCGCCCGTGCCGCCTCCTAATATGGTCGTCGTGTACCTGTCAATCGTACACAACTTCTCCTCTACTACATCACCCTACATCATCCTCCACCCTCAATCAAACACACAATCAACCTTATGCTCACTTGTCGGAGAAACGAAGCCCAAATTATGAAATCAACACTGATCACTTTGTGTGTGTCATCCAACAGCTACGATAGTAATCGACAGGTTCCTAGAGCACGCCTGAATAACCTCTGAGTGCCCAAAGCAAAGCCATATCCTAAGATCAAATTAAAATCTGAAAAAACAAAAGCCGCACGAAAATTGGCGGAAAAGCAAACCCTACATTAAAGAGGGAACTGCCGCAACTTAGGGTTTTGGTCTAATCGGAACTTCTCTTGAGTGAGCATTAATGTACTTTTAATAAGCTTTCGATATGTTCTATTGAGTATTGAGGGTCTAATAATGAGCATCGTGATACCGACTTCATATCTTGTATTTCAAATGATTTTTCTTAGTTTTTAAAATATCTACAATAAACCCGTGTGAATTTAATATGTGAATTTAATGTAATGCTTTGTATTATACTTTTAAAATATGCATGATTATGACATTTTAAAATGGGTATTACACCGATATCAAATGAGCTTACATAAATTATGAAATGAGCATGAAAAAATCAAATAGCTCATTAAAAAACTCTACTATGCCTAGAATTTTATTTATGTATGCTCAGATCTATAAAACTACGTATAAGCATAAGTAGAAAATTTGGACCTATCACGGTTTCTTCGGTACTCAACGGTACATGTTGTTGTGTGAAGATTGCTAAAGATAAGAGGAGTCCAATTCTAGTCCCCAAGGACCCACACAATTCAAAGCTCAATGAATTTTTGACAATATTTTCTAATTTTGTTGGATTATCTAAATTAGAGCCGGAGGAACACAGGCATTGGGAGTATGAGACTTCGATACTGAGGATATAACCATTTCCAAACTCATTTTTAATTATGAAGTGCAAAGAGCCTACTGCGGGAAGCAACAAACCCCCTCCCCTGAGAAACAACCACAAATTCCACTTCTTCAGGCTTACTCTGACGCCTCAGACAACTTTGACTATTCCGATGAATCTTTCTTCTCAGATGATTTTCTAGGGCATGCAACTGAAAGTGACCGTCGCCCTCCGTTATCAAATCAGGAAGACATTGGGAACTCCAAATTCAATAGAAGGATTTGCCACAAAGCAAAGCTTGTCACCTCTGAAAATTGTTTGCCGACAGACAACCTGAACACGCAACTAAAACTTTACAGGAAATCTCAGCAAAACAAAAGGCGACACAGTATGTGATAGAGTATATAGACTCGGACCCCCGGGTCTCACTACTATTGGGCCTAGACAGCGGCCCACACACACTCATCAGATGTATTTTGTATTATTGTACTGTTCATATATCATATGTATGTACTATATTAATCTTTTATGTAGTTGGACCTATCAGGCCCATATTAGCGGCCTGACCCATTATTTCTCTATTTATACTCCTCTTGGAGTCGTTTGTAAACCCTAGAACACAACTCATTCATACATTACTATTCATCATCTTCTCTACTCCATAGCTCAAATCTCTCCTAATTATATATGTTTGGATCCTAATAATCCATCAATGGTGCTCTCGTTGAGAGTCGAACTCAAGAGAATTGAGCTATGGAGTAGAGAAGATACCCGGGACCTCGTGCACCTCAGAAAAAATACACACACACACACACATATATATATATATATATATATAATATAAAATTAATTATTCAATGTATATTTACACAAAAAATGACATTAGAACCAAAAGAATGAAGCAGAGGGATGGGAGCACGTGTGGGATTGAAAGTTTTTATGTTGCGAGTCGTTTTGACCTTTTTTTTGGGGGGGGGGGGGGGTGTTGCTTCACGCTCCACAGCCCCACGCTCGGCTCCATCTTTTCCATATCAATTTTACATTAAAAATACATCCAATAAAATGTTGCCATGTGACAAGTAATTTCTTTTTTTTTTTATAAAATGTCATAACTTTTTCATTTTTGCTCCAAATTTTATAAAAATTATACCAAATTAAATATCTTTTTATGATCTTTCATATGACACCAATATTTTATATGTAATTTTTTTAAAAAAATCTGGTCAAGTCTCGTGAACATACGTATTTTTTCATATATGACTCTTGACTACTATTAGAAAACATAGTAATTTTTTCGTATATGACTCTTGACTACTATTAGAAAACATAGTAATTTTTTCATATATGACTCTTGACTACTATTACAAAACATACATATTTTTTTATTCCATTAAATGTTGCTCTGCGCACCCCAGAATTGCTTTACTTAACCATGACATAACAAATTTGGCCTTCTTAATTATGGAGTATTAATTAAAATTAAAATTGTTTTACGCACCTCCACGCTCGGCTCCATTCAAACGGCTTGCCCCATATCAATTTTACATTCAATCTATATCCAATAAAATGATGTCATGGAGAGATGTTTTTGTTACTATTAGTGATGATTCTATTATACGATAGTATAATATTTCCAACAAATGAAGCCTAGGATGGTACATGTGTAGAATTGTTGAATGATTTTTATATATAATTTTTTGCTTTATAATATTTTAATGTTTTGATTTTGTACGTTAATTTTGAAGTGTTATGCTTCTTTAATATTTTTTATTAGTTTTATACTTCATCCGTTCCATAAAAGTTGCAACATTGGAATTTATGCACTATTTACACATCGTACTTTGACTACGATTTTCTAATAATATATATAATAAAAATATTATGTATAAAATATTAATAAATTTATATTAATGTAAATTTCCAATATATTAACTTTTTTAATGTTTACTAATACGTAAATAAATATAATTACAATCAAAGTTACACGTTGGCAAACGTGAAAGTCAAACTGTTGCAACTTTTATGGAACGGATGATAGTATTTATTAGAGATTAAAGATATAAAAGGGTAGAGATCCGTGACTCTGATTTTCTGGGTACGCCACCGCACAAACACTGTCAAACAATTTTGTCACAATCTTGAAATAAATCATCTGTACACAACTCTCCCTTAAAACAATAAGACAAACACAAAAACTTTACCAACTAAACCGGAACTCTCCCTTAGTTTATTGCCGGAGTTAACACTTCAGTACTTAACAGGCTTTCAGCATTCGCGAGCGAGAATTACCCATCTTCGGTCCAGTGAGGAGATTGAAAAAACTAGTCGTTAGAAGTGGTAACGTCTACTAAATTTGAAACTTCTAAAGGTCGCTAAAAGATTTCCTTTTCCCATTTCCACCTCCCTCGGTCAATCAATCAAGAAAAAGATTCAAGTTTTCTAAATTCGTACATTTTTCGAACTCCATTTTTAGGGCTTCTGATAGAAACTTCTTGTTCAAACACCTGGAGGCCGGCATAGCCATTTTCTCTGCTGTCACAGTCCCATATCCTACGTTGCAAGCTGCCTTGAGACAATACACACAGCTCGTGACTCCTCTGTTCAGTTGGATTTCGAAGAAGTATTTGCAAAAGTTGCAGTTTTGGGACCTAATGGCACCTACTCCGGCCAAATCGAATCAGACTCATTTCGGAAATCTGAAAACACCTCAATCCAAACACCGCCTCAACTTGTGTAGGCCATCACCGAACCCCAACTCAGCAGCTGCGAAAGAAGCTCTTCCAGCCGAGCATCCGGTGGAAGTCGTTGGGCGGATCCGCGACTACCCAGATCGGAAAGATAAACCTCAACCTGCGGTGAAGTTGAATGGAGACAGTCAATCATTGAGGGTTAAGACTGAAATAGGGTACAGAGACTTTCAACTTGATGGAGTTTCGTTATCAGAAGAAGAAAATCTCGATGTTTTTTACAAGAAATTCGTTCAGGCAAGGATAAACGGGGTGAAATTGGGGTCTAACTGTACTATTATGATGTATGGCCCTACTGGTTCCGGTAAGAGTCACACCATGTTTGGTAGCTCCAAGCAGCCTGGAATTGTGTACCGATCATTGAAGGATATATTGGGAGAAGGGGATGAAGAGAGTGCAGAGAATCGTGTGATTGAGAGAGCAGGGACTTTCATTCAGGTCACTGTCTTGGAAATATATAATGAGGAGATTTATGATCTCTTGGCCACTAATAATGCTGGAGGATTTGGCTTTGGATGGCCTAAAGGCAATGCTTCCAAGGTATGAACGGATAATTCTTGTATTTTATAGTATTTCATTTTTACTTAATTATATATTTTACTAGATATTGGCCTTGTTATCTCCTAATAGGTAGTGCTCCGAAGTATCTCAAGTGAATTTGAAATGAACTTGTACTGTATAGTCTAGCTTGCGTGAGAAATTGAAATGAGCTGGTATTGTAAATCTTTGTATATAGTAATCTGATGCAATAATCAGTTAACAATGATACCATTGTTTACTTTTTTCTTTGCTTTGTTTTTTGCATGGTCCAAGGCTAGTTTCTATAAGCTGTTGTAATTGTTCTCAGAAACATAAAATGATCATTTGCTTTTCTTTGTGCTAGAATTAGGATTGGAAAATTGTGGTGCACTGTTCTTAGGAGAACAATGTCTGCAGTAAAAAATCACATCTGCTTTATAAATGACATTCCAACTTAAAAGTGACGCTTTGTAGCTGTAGCCAAAGGTTTGCACAAGTAGGTTTTAATGAGAGAGCTGATAATGAAACTCCGATTTTTAGAATATGTGCTTCTGTCAGTCTGAAGTTGGTAAATGCTATGTTTAGCACAATTACAATTCTTTTGCTGTGCGTTAACTTGGATTGGTTTAAATATAGTGCGGGTTGTCTATATATTTGCACTAGCAGGTAAGGTTGGAAATCATGGGGAAAAAGGCTAAAAATGCAACTTTTATTTCGGGAAATCAAGCAGGGAAGATATCAAAAGAGATCCAGAGTGTAGAAAAGAGAAGGATTGTTAAGAGCACTCTATGTAATGAGAGAAGTTCAAGAAGCCATTGCATGGTAATGTCTATAATTACTTAGTACACAAGTCTTTCAGGTTCTCATTTTTTTCTTTGTTCCTCCTTTTTAGATAATTCTTGATGTTCCAACAGTTGGAGGACGGCTTATGCTAGTTGACATGGCAGGTTCTGAAAATATAGAACAAGCTGGTCAAACTGGTTTTGAAGCCAAAATGCAGGTAGATATCCTATATTGCTAACAATATGGTCCAACTTAAACATTGATTTTATGCCATAAGTGTGTGTGTCTATTTCTCTCTCTATATATGCATATATGACAAAAAACTTGCTGTAAATAGGAGTAAAACACGAGTCATGTGCAGAAGTAATCTTATTTTATCCTGAAAAGGGGACTCATTCAGTTATTAAGAAAAAACAAAAATAGTTAAAACTTCTTCTAGTAGTATGTGAGTCCTGCTTTCAAGAAAATACAATGGCAGTCCTATAATTCTATTTGTAGAAATGTGTTACTCCCTCCGTTCCTAAATAAACTTCCAACTTTCCTTTTTCGTCCGTTCCAATTAAAACTTCCACTTTCCCTTTTTGGTAAAGAATTTGTGGTTCACAACATTTCTTACACATTTCTCTCTCCTCTGCAGAATTCTCCACCACACAATATACACTATCTTAAATTTTGTGTCAAACCCATTTGGAAGTTAAAATGGGAACGGAGGTAGTATGTTTTAGTCTTATTCATGAAATCCCTTGAACTACTAGTGGGCATTTTTTTAATTGTATTGAAAGCGGTAGCTGAGTCTAAATGCAGACTGGTAAGATAAATCAGGGGAATATTGCACTGAAGAGGGTTGTTGAATCCATTGCTAATGGAGACTCTCATGTGCCATTTAGAGACAGCAAGTTGACCATGCTTTTACAGGTATATACTTCGTATAACCTTCTGCTGCAACTAAGTTGGCATTCTGATTTATCCCCATCTCACCCCTTCTTATACTGGTTCTTTCGTTTTTTTACAGGACTCATTTGAAGATGACAAGTCGAAAATTTTAATGATTTTATGTGCCAGCCCAGATCCAAAGGAGCTGCACAAGACCATCTCAACTCTTGAATATGGCGCAAAAGCGAAATGCATAGTCCGTGGTCCTTCCACGCCAATCAAAGAAAAGGGTGCTGATGAAGCCACATCAGCAGTTGTTCTGGGATCACGAATTGCAACCCTTGATCAGTATATATACAAACTACAGACTGAAAACAAGCTCCGGGAAAAGGAGAGGAATGAAGCTCAAAAGGAGCTAGGGAGGAAAGAGGAAGAAATTTATGCACTGAGGGCTAAACTGGAAATTGCAGCAAGCGGCCGGACGGAGGTTGACATTAAGGTAAAGGAGCGGAGCACAATTCTGAATAGTGAGTTAGAAAAGAAGATACAAGAGTGCCAGGAAATGGCAAACAAATTCGTTGAAATGGAAAGGAAAAGGATGGAAGAACGAATTCTTCAACAGCAACAAGAGGTTGACATGCTAAGAAGGCGCCTGGAAGAGATAGAGTTTGCTCTCTGCTATGCTAAGGGTAGAAGTAGATCAGCAGAAAGCAGCTTTGCAGAAAGAATACTGGAGGCCTATCCTGATGATTCAGATATGGTAAAGTCTATGGACTTGTCCAAGTCTTATGATTTAGAAACAACAAAACAAGATAATGTTAACGCAATTTTGAGCTATAACAACAATGCCACCATTCCAATTGTTGCTGTTGAAGAAGACCTCATCGCTGAGATAGGGCCGATGTTGGCAAGAAAGAATTGTTTAAGTACAGTATACGAGGAGGAGGAGGAAGAAGATGGAGATGATAAGAGAAGCTACACTGATGATGAGGTGCAAAAAGAGGTTGAGGTGCAAATATGTCGCCCAACCACAATCTTGGATATGCCGGTTTCGTTATGCCACTTAGGCAAGCTCTTGGAAGAAGAAAACCCATCTTTATTTAGGGATACAAATGGAAATGAGGAGGGTTCAGTCTTCTTTAGGGAAAGAAGAATTCAAAACATATTCACTCTCTGTGGAAACTACAGGCAAATGTCTGTAGATAAGACATTTCAGGAGGATTCTGCTACAAGAAGTGCTGCCTCAAAGGATTTTTTATTGTCAGTTAATCCGAAATCTCAACTTAAATCAGCTGACAAGAATCTGAAATTAGCCACAGCAAATCATTCGAATGAGAACTTTAACCCTTCATCAGATGAAAATGCTGGGGTATGTTTTATTTTATCAGTCTTCATTTCTTCATGTTCTCTCTCTTTTGACCCAACATAAAAGTTTTTCCCTTTTAAAATGCTAAGAATAACAGAAATAGAAAAATAATGTCTAACTGGTTTGGGGTTTATATATATTCAGGATCCAACATGTGCTCAAGTGCCTAAAGCACAGGAGGCCCGACCATCACCAAACAAGCTCCCAACTTACAACAGTCAATTACACATATCACAAATACCCTTCAGCCAAGTACAGAATTTACTTCCAGTTGATAGCTTTTGAGTCAGAATAAATCAGCATGCCCCCATTTTGGGTTTTTAAGCGTTTGGTGCTTTTACAGTGTTCATTTGTATGTTAGTAAAACGTGTAATCAATTCTCTGATTTTTTATAGCATCACTGTTCTTCTAACTCTTTTTTTGTTGAGAAAACTGAGTATGCCCCATGCTTATATGTCCTTTAAGTTGTGACTTTATTGGACCGAAAGATAAAACCAAGATATTGAGTCTTGAGAGTTTTTTCCCTAGAGTTGGTTCTAAAACTTATTTCCTAAACTATGGTACTTATTTTCCCATGTCGCCCAACCTGCCATGTCACCTATGTCACACCATTTGCTAGTCATTCCATGTCATCGAATTGGGTGTGTTTTACATGCTTAATTGTCACATGCTCTCATTTAATCGTATTTAACATACATAGATTTTAAATCCTGCTAATGTACTAGTTTAACTCGTGTATGACTCATTCCTTTAGAGATATACGGAGTATTGTTTATTTCTCAAATAATTAAAGAATATAATAAAATTTTAATTTGATATATACAATTAAGAAATAAGAACGCAATTAAAAATTATGATAAAAACGTAATTTGAGATTTTCATTCATTTTCATTTACCCCAGTGCCGCAAAGGCTCCCACCTAAGGTGGGGTAAGGAGGGGGGGTCGGATGTACGCAGTCTTACCCCTATACTAAAGCACAGAGAAACTGTTTCCGGATGACCCATAGTGAAAATCCCGTCCAAAATTGCATGGATTGACTGTTGTTTCATAACAAATAAGCGCAGACAGTTTAGTGAGCCATTTTGCTTTATTCCATCATAATCTCAAGCCAAAAAATAATGAATCTTTGGCTCCATTGCAAATGATGGAAATAAAAACGTAATTTGAGATATGTAACTAAAAAGTAATTTATAATAACTCAACACTAAAATTATTAAAAATATTATATACTTAATATAAAAAGTTTAAAAGTTTATCTAGGGAAAAATCTTTATACCATCTCAATTGAGCTTGGGCTCGGTTCAAATTTCACAAAGTAACTTTCATATGTTCGAGTGCAAGTTCAAATAAGATGCTTGAATTCGAGCTACTACACTTAAGAGGTCACTTTTTTTACTCCAGGGGGTGTTTAGGGGAGGGGGTTGAGGGGGCATGGAGTAATCAAGGTTGAAACTCTCTCCATTGAGTTTCAAACTCTTGTGTGCCTAGCGGGTTTCGAACTCAAGACCTCCCACTAGGCACGGTAACCTCACAACCAGCTGGACTGGAATGCTTAGTTACCTTTATTGTCCATGTCTTTGTTATATTTATAAATATGTCCTTTCATAATTAAACTGTATTTACATGCAATTATTTCATATAAAAAGTTTTGATGTGGAAACCTCCCAATTCCAACAGGTTTCTAGATTTAAAATTTTTAATATAGTACATAGGAGAAAGAATCTAATGTTTGACAAGAATGTAAGCCCTTATGAAAAATGCATGGTCTAGGTCTCTAGGGTTTAGATAAGGACCATAAGGTGGGAGAACACAAAAAGAAAGAAAAACATTTGCACGGTCAAAGGTGCAATGTACATAATAGTAATTGTAATTAATGGTCATAATTTTGTTCAATTTTACTCTGGTAGTGACTATTGTGATATATACGTCTATTAATTGTAGACACATTCTACTACAAAAGTTTTTCTCCCTTCATACCATATGTAAGATACATGTGAGTTTGGCGTAAATTTTAAGAAAATAAATAATAATTAAAGTGGTTGTTTTACAAGCTTCAAAAATAAGAAAATGTGAGATTGGTGAATTGGTCCACAAAAATAAAGGGTGAAACGATAGATAAATGGATAAATTGGGAAAATAATTAAAAAAGTTAGTGAGGTTCAATTTCTGTATACATATTTATATTTAATAACACAAATACATAAAAATGAATTCGGAGAATGTACATGTAGACTTGAGAGAGAGTTTGAGCTTTCTTGCTATTTAAATTATCATATTGACAGGTGATATGTGATTTTTTTCCTTTTAGGGGTCTCCTTATAGAAGGTAGCAATAGGGGAGAATGATCTAGACCTAGAAAAATAGAATTTTTATCAAGCCTAATAATTTGTATGTATATTTTGAGTAAGTTTCTTTTTTTTAGACTCAACAGTTTGTACTTACTTTTGTATGTGAATAGAGCAATTATCCAAATTGTTTTTATTGATTGTTGAACCAGCATGAGAGTAGAGTCCTAATTCTTTAATGTATATGTGCATAATGTGTGAGTGTTGGGCCGCGGGTATGCGGTGCCAGCAACAGCCAGCCTGTCGGTGCAATCGGACCGCGTGGCGCTTTGCTTGTGCTATAAAGGGGGAGGAGCGTGCTTCACTATCAGCGATTGCTTTTAGTGTAGCGGTAAGCGCAACGATCCACAAGTGGTATCAGAGCCAAGGTCACGGGTTCGACCCCCGGCAACAGCATGTTGCGCAGTTGTAGGTTGGCAGGTGCTGGGGGGGATTGTTGGGCCGCGGGTATGCGGTGCCAGCAACAGCCAGCCTGCCGATGCAATCGGACCGCGTGGTGCTTCGCTTGTGCTATAAAGGGGGAGGAGCGTGCTTCACTATCAGCGATTGCTTTTAGTGTAGCGGTAAGCGCAACGATCCACAGTGAGTCGTTGTCCCTTGAGAGCAAACTGTTACAATGTCATTACATGTTGAGTTTTTTTAGTTAAGTTTTTTCTTCATAAGCATCAATGTTATTAATGTCTTGATTTAAATACGTAAATAATAGAATAACTTCATGATTAAAATATATGATACTCATTAAATAAAAATAGAATGCTATTTTTATAAAGTTTATCTTGAATAGACAAAAAGTTATTTGATTTTGTAAATATCAAGCAATACAAAAAGAATACCATAAACACTAGTTTAACAGACCTTAAATAAAAGCTCTTGACATTTATAAGTTAATTCATTCATTTAGTATCTAACTTTTAAAAAAAGGATATATGCATAAGTCATAAAACGTTAATTATTTCAAATAAAATATGCATATATTTTTAAAATTAACATGGTATAAAAATAATACATTAGGGCACTAAAAATCACTAATCTGATATGTACTATTGTAAAATAAAAAATTGTGTGATTAAGATGGTTGTCTGATTAGTCCTCTATAAATTTTTGCTTAGGCCTTCCAGAATTATCATTAAATAAATCTTTGCTCCCATATTTCTAACTAAAGATGCTCAAGAGGTTATTTATTTTAATTACATTTAGTCACTTTATAAGGCTTTAACAAAACAACAACCTACACTAACTATATGGTGGTTTTTTTAATCGAAAAACAATCCTTTCATTAGATTAAAGAATCATTTGCTACATGGCTTACAATGCACTCCAGTATCATATTATAGCTACTACTATGATCTGAGATAACGACATCAGCTCTAGCTAATGCGTGAGTTGCACGATTCGCAGATCGTTTACAAAAAAAGATTTCAAAATTCCTCTTAATTTGAAGCAAAAAGCGGATATCATCAATAACCAAATCTGTGTACGATAAGCCCTTCCCTTTATGAATGCCTCTGACAATTATCTCAGCATCTAACTCAATCTCCACCTTTTCTCATCCTTCCTTTATAGCCCCTAGCACAGCCTCACGGATGCTCACCGCTTATGCCTCAACCGGAGACCATTCCGCCTTACATGATGCTCCATGAGCTTTAATGAACTCCCCCTGGTCGTTTCTTGCAATCCAACCCAAGCTCTAATTCTCTGCGCTTCATCCCCCACCGCATCAACAATTACTTTTATTCCTCCCGCTTTTGGACGTTGTAACCTTGGAGTCATGTTTCTCGATGAGTCTCTCGATTTTGAACAGGTGGATTGTGCCTCCCTCTAAGCCATCAACATGTTGAAGCAGCAATCAATAACCCCGGTCGAGCTTTGCCCCTTGCCCTCCCATACTACTGCATGCTGCCTTTTCCAAAGTCCCTACGCCAGCATCGCCACTCTGCATTTTGCCTCATTATCGGGTGCTGAAAGATGCTTTTAGAGCCAATCAACCAAGGACTCCTCTAACCTGCCTAACCCCACGCCGGCCTCCGCCCAAACTTCTGCATCTTTTGGGCAGGTCCTCAGCGCATGCTATGTGGTCTCAGCCCCCTCTGCTACACACCTTGGACAAATTCTGCACTGCCACTCCCTTGCGCTCCAGATTCGCCAATGATGGCAGTGAACCATCTAAGACCTGCCAAAGAAAATATTTAACCTTTTGTGGAATTTTTAAATTCCATAAGTCTTTCCAGTCGCTCCAATTGCTAGTCACCGCCTCTTGCATTAAGGTCCGATAGCAACTTTTGACTGTAAAAATACCATTATTTTCCCCTTTCCACCAAAAGTCATCCTTCTTGTCTCGCATGCTAATAGGGATGCTCGTGATGATTTTTCTTTCTTCTTCATTAAAAATTGCTGATAATCGGTCCCTATTCCATTTTTTACCAGTGATGTCCCTCAGAGTCGCCACATACATGTCTGCAATTCCAGCTGACTTGGCTGACTGAATTCTCCCCGACCACAGACCTGGTAACCATGCATCAGCCCAGACTTTAACATCCCTGCCATTCCCAACTCTCCTTTTAATATTATTTTTCAGCACGATTTGGGCTTCATATATACTTCACCAAATAAAAGATGGATTGCAACCCAGCTTAGCCTTCAAAAACTCTGAGTTAGGAAAATAGCGAGCCTTTAAAATGCGCCCCATCAGGCTCCCCGGGTTAGCTAGCAGCCTCCAACCTTGTTTAGCCAACATGGCGAAATTAAACTCTCGTATTTTCCTGAACCCCAGTCCACCTGTTCCCTTCAGTTTACACATTAGCTCCTAGCGTCTCCACCTGATTCTCTTTTGGTCAAATTTAGTGCCTCTCCACCAAAAGTCATTCATGTCACGCCCCGGACCGCATCTAGGCTCGTGTACAACCGACGTATGACTAAGAATCGTCACTCGCAAGTCAACGTGTCTTAATCATACAAGGCGTCCATGAACATAGTATATCCATACTCAGTAGTAAATATACACACCAACATCACAGTTTAGATTAAATTGAATAACGGAAATATTCATTAATCAATCGTGGGACACACGTGGCCAAAACGTAGGCTCGCAGGCCAAACCAATGTATTAATACAAAAGTATCCATGAGGATAGTTTATTGTTGAAATGGTAGAGGGAGCACGAACCACGTCTTCCTCTG